CTGGCTGCAGGCTCTGGGGTGAACTAGCAGAGCACCCACTTTCCTGCAGCCCATCCACCCAGTCAGCATCCCCCAACAGCAGCACTGGATGCCCCATGCTGGCTGTGCTGGATGGGGGCTCCCCCCTCCCCATCCATGTGACCAACACTGGGAATTTGTTTGCTGTGAATGGGAGGCTGCTGCGGTGCTGCTGGTGCTGCAGGGGGACAAGAGCCCTTTCATGTCAGCCATGCTGCCCTGGAGTGCAGAGCAGAGCCACCAGAACAGCACAGAGCTGGAGGGGGACACAGCCTCTGGGCCCCCCCGCCAGGCAGCACTTCCCACCTCCATGTGCCTTGAAGCCCTGGCACGCGGGCCTGACTCAGAGCAACCACTGACTCACAGCATCTCCATGCCATTGCACCAGGGCCACCACCGGTACCCCAAGGTGCCACTGGGGAGAGGGGAGAATGCAATGGTGCTGTGTGAGGTTGATTGCTGCCCATGGCAGAGCATCCACAAAGCTCCAGCTACCGCTCAGCGCACCAACAGCAACTCACCTCCTGCTGCTGCTGGTTCACCTCCCACAGACAGACAGATGGACGTAGGGATGGATGGAGAGATGGACGTCAGCCCTCAACTCTGTGCTCAGCCACAGCCACTCCAGGTGCCCACAGCTGTTTCCAGGCTGGCAGAGGGACTGCGGTGAGGGCTAGGCAAGGCCAAGGCGAGAGTGGCAGCTCTGTGCTGGGGCTGGGCTGCCGAGCTTGGCACATCCCAGCTCTCTGCTGACTCGGTGGCAAAAATGTTTCAGCTGGGGCTGGGTCCCCCAGAGGGGAGGTGGAGCAGGGGACAGCTGACCAAGACCGTGACGACTGCCTCTGCGCCTGGTGTGTGTGCAGGGCGCACAGCACAAAGCACACAGCACGGGCGTCCAGTGACTGCCTGCACACGGGGCACGTCAACAAGGTCCCCATTGAGCACGGCAGGACGGGGGGAGGCCGGCATTACCCACACTGTGGAGCGGACCGTGCTCCCGCACTGCACCGCACGCGTGGCAGCCAGCACGGCTCTGGGACCCAGCAGCCCTGGCCCGGTGCCGGGACAAACGGTCTGGCTGTCAGCTCGGGGTGGAATTTGGGATGGGCAGAGCCAGAGGAAGAGCAGGGAGGATGCAAGCAGGGCTGAGAGATGGGGCAAACCAAGCTCCTTGTGCCGGCACCTCGAATCACAGCCCTTTCCTCAGGACCTCTCTTGGTCCAGCACCTTTCAGCAAACCCGACCTGCCTGTCACCCTGAGGAGTGCCCAGTGGTGGTGCCGGTACCAGCCTGGCCCTACAGGGGCCGAGCTCCTGCTCGGCACAGCACACGCTGCCCTGGCGCCCCAGGTCCTCACAGCACAGGGCAGAGAACACCCACGTACCCACGGTGCTGAAAGAGGGATCCCAGCTCCTTTCCCTGCCCAGCGCGGGATGCAGCCAGCTGACAGCCTGGCTGGGAGCTGGGCGTCCCACAGCCCCAACGACCCCAGCAGCAGGCGGAGGACACCCACGGCCCAAGGGGCTTGGGGCTTGGGATGGGCAGTGTCTGGCCCCACACAGCCCCAAGGGAGCACACCCTCATCTCGGGTGTCATACCACATCAGTCATACCACACTGATGCCGGCTGATAACTGGGCCTCCACCTGCTGAGGCATCGCAGCAGCCAAGCGTGGACACGCAGCCCCCATGGGTGTCCCGACACACGAACATCCCGACCGACCCGCATCACTCACGGACACAAGCATCCACGGATGACACGCGCGCACGGACTCGCTCCTGACCTCCGCCGCGGAGCTCGCATCCTGCCCCGCCGGCCACCGACGCACAGGACCCGGCAGCACCGGGCAGGGCAGCACCGGGCCGAGCACCGGGCCGAGCACCGGGCGGCACCGGGCCGAGCCGGTGGGTCTCCGCAGGCGCTATTGGGCCGCCCCACCGTGCGCCGGGGAGGCGGCTCTGCGGCACCGGCCGGCTCCGCCCGCCGCTGCGTCCCCTCCTCCTCTCTGCCTTCATCCTTCATCCATGCCTGCTTCCCTCCCTCCACCCTTCCCTCGCTTCATCCCTCCCTCCGACCCTTCATTCTCTCTTCATTCTCTATCCCCTTCCCGCTCCCTCCTTCTGCCCTCTATCTTCTCCTGCTCCCTGGCCGGCTGACACAACCACCCCCCTGCTCCAGCCCTCCACTCCCCCCAGTCCCTCTGGGCTAAGCCCAAATGCTTCCTCACCCTTCAGTCGCCCAGGAACCATCCCTGATCCCTCTCTGTTTCCACCCTCCCCCCCCCTCCCCCCCCCCCCCCCCCCAATTCTTCTTTCAACCTCCCAGTCACCCGCAAGACTTCTAATTAACCAAGTTTCCCCATGGCATCCCCAACCATCCATCCTGATGACACAGTTATCCCCTATAACAGTTACCCAGCCCTTCTTGTCACTCCCTACCACCCTGGTCTTCTTTGGATGCCTCCATGCTAGCCTGACACCCCTAATCCACTTTTTCACCCCCAGAGCCCCATTAGCCTCCCTCCCACCCCCAGCCCCCCCCCGGGTACTCTTCCAGCCCTACGACACCCTCAGTTTCTCTCTAACGTTCCATCACTTCCTAGTCTTCCACTGGGACATTCCCACAACCCTCGATCTCCCTTGACACCACCATCACCCTAACTCCCCTTTGGACACACACCATCCCAACCTTACACCCCAAATTTCTTCCATCTTTGCCTCTCCTTTGACACTCCACATCCCAATCCCATTAACTCCAGTCCCATTTGACCCCTCCTAATTCCTTTCCTCGCTTGATGCCCCTCCAGTCCCAGTGCAGCCAGTGCAGCCCACGTGCCCCGGGCACACATTCCACTTGTCCTGCCAGCTTTGGGGTCCCCTGCAACCCAAATGAATGCCTCCATCCGAGCCTGACACCCCCAATCCCTTTCTTCATTCCCAGAGCCCCATAAGCCTCCACGGGTAACTTTCCAGCCCCACAGCACTGTTGCTTTCTCTCTAATATTCCATCACTTCCCAGTCCTCCACTGGGACGTTGATCCCCCTTGACACGACCATCACCCTAATCCTCCCTTGGACACACACCATCCCAGTCTAACACCCCCAGTTTTCCCCGTCTGTCTCTCCTTTGCCACTCCCCATCCCAACTCCATTAACCCGTTTACTTGGGACATCAGACAAAAGTCTCTGCGGCTGTGTCCAATGGAGGGCCAGGAGTGGGTGCACATGACTGCCGCCACCACCACTCCGCCAGCGCTCGCCGTGTCCCCGCGGGCCCCCAGTGAGGGCAGGGGTGCCGTGGGGCTCTGCCTCCGCTCCCCAGGAGAGGGCACCAGCCGGCAGGGAAAAGCCGGCAAGTGCGGCACCGCGCCGGCGCTGGCTTGGGCACGCGTGGGAAAGGGGACACGGACACGGGCGGACGGAGGCGCTGGGCAAATCCAGGCGGTGCTGGAACGGAGAGCAGGGCGTCGGGATGCAGGGTCGGCGGGCGCCCTGGGCAAGGTCTTAATGGTGAATAGAGGCCAGGACCAGCGGCAGAGCTACGCTGCGAGACCATGTCCCAGGCACAGCACATCCAGCAGTGTGGGTGCCTCCACCCCACACCACCCGCGAAGCTGTGGATGGGGATCGCTGTCCCCGTCCCTGTGTCACACAGCCCAGCCGAGGGGCCGTCTTGGGACCCCGCTACAGATTTCACCAGCTGCTGCCCTTGACTTCGTCTCTCACCCTGTGTTGGCTGCCCTGGACTTTCCCCGCTCTGGCGTCACGGTTGTTCCCTGGCTGTGGCTGCAGTGTGCGTAGCACTGGGGTATAGACAATGCCAGTGTATACATTGCACCGTGCATTGCCAGGCTGTACGTAACACACTGGGCTCTCCCACCTTGGCCACACTGCCTGTGGCGAGGGCAGCCATCCCAGTCACCTCTCGGCTGGGTTAACAGCTTCCAGGGCCACCCCAGGTCTCACACAGGGCAGTTTCGTCCACTCCTGCTGCTTGCAGCAAGCATAGACGGAGGAATAGCTTAGTCCCATCTGGATCTTGCTTGGGAACGCTGTGTCCCTGCTGCCCATCCCCAGAACATGGAAAGCAGTGGGCAAGAACAGGCCAGATCCTAGCCCTGCCATGAGCAAGACCTGGGGTCTGTCTGGTCCACCTGTGTGGTGAGAGTTTGGCCCCATGAGTAAGGGGATGTCCTCCATCCCTTGCCATGCACCATGCTGGGCTGTGCCCATTGCCATGGGGTCCCCATGCTGTCCCACATAGAAGGCCAGCACTTTCCCCCACAAGGTCACTGGACGCAGCCACGTGGGTTTTGCCCCATGGAGGGCGTTTGCTGGGTGTCTCCCATGCACCCCACGTCATTGGGAGCCATTGGCCAGGGCTGACCCTGTGCCTCGTGCCCATTATCGGGGCATTGCTCAACAGTGGGCGCGATGTCGGGAGCAGGCGGGGGCCATGGCACTGCCTCAGCCATGTGATGTGTGGTCTGGGGAACCCGTATTCCTGGGCGAGCTGGGAGGCATGGCCGAGCTCACCATGGGATTGGATCAGCCTGCTCCCCTGCCAGTGACACCCCTAGCTTTGGGGAAGCCATCCGCAGTGTCTGCCACCACCGTTCCCCTCTTGCTTTGCAGTGCTGTGATGTGCATGGAAGGGAAACTGACGCAGGGTCGCGGTGGGGACAGGCTATCCCTGCCCCCCCCCCCCGACTTCGTGGCGCCCGGGAGCAGCGGGGTCCTGCCTGGACACCCCCCTCCCCTCTCTCTGGGGGGCCCGGCACAGTCCTGCCCCGCTTCCCCCCTGCTCCTCCTCCCTCTCTCCTCCCTCCGGGGAGTGGGGGGGCCCGGGCGGGCTGGGGCGGGGAGGTGAAGGGAAGGAGGTGGGATCATGGAGACGGGACCCAATGAGCCCGAAAAACGTGCCCCGATCGCAGCCCTTTTAGCGCGGCGGACGGACAACAGCAGCCTCCCGGCAGCGTGCGGAGAGAGTCGGCGCCCCCTGCCCGCCTCATCCCGGCCGGTCCCGGTCCCCATCATGGCGCTGGGAAAGTTGCAGAAGGTGCTGATCAGCGACAGCCTGGACCCCTGCTGCCGGGAGATCCTGCAGGCGGGCGGCCTCCGGGTACAGGAGAAGCCCGGTCTGAGCAAGGAGGAGCTGCTGCGGGAGATCCGGGTGAGTGCGGCAGGGCTGCACGCATGGAGGGATGAGTGTTGTGGGGGGCGCAGCGGGCCCGGCTGCCCCGGGTGGCAGCAGACCCCCCGCGATCGGCTGGGCTGGTCCCCGCCTCCCGTCTGATGCAAGAGCCCGGCCGGTTTCGCACGGCGGATCGCAGCCCCCTGCAGAGGCTGTCCCCAACCCGCGACCACCCCGGTACCACCAGAGGTGCCGGTCCCACCCGCTGTGTCTGTCCCCCCAGGACTGTGATGGACTCATCGTCCGCTCGGCCACCAAAGTCACGGCCGACGTGCTGGAAGCGGCAGAGAGGCTGCAGGTGGTGGGCAGAGCAGGTACCGGCGTGGACAATGTCGATGTGGAGGCGGCCACCAGGAAGGGGGTCCTGGTCATGAAGTAAGAATAGGAGCACGGGGGCATCCCTGACTGTGCCCCTGGGGGAAGAGCAGAGGCTTCATCAGGGTGCCCTCCCCACCCATGCACACCTCCCCCCCCCCGGCACCATCCTGGGGATCTCCATCCTCATGGGGTGCAGAGAGCCATCAGCCCGGGGGTGACACACCAATGACACTGCTCTCCATCCCCAGCACACCCACTGGAAATAGCCTCAGTGCCGCCGAGCTCACCTGCGGGATGATCTTGTCCTTGGCCAGGTGAGTGCAGGGCAAGATGGGGGGACAGACGCAGACCGCATGGCCCCTGCCCCTGCTCTAACTGCAGCTTCCCTTTTAGGCAGATCCCGCAGGCAGCTGCCTCCATGAAGGAGGGCAAGTGGGACCGTAAGAAGGTAGGAGACAGGCACAGCAGCCCAGGCAGGACTGGGTGGCTGGTGCCTGCGTGGGGTGTGCTCTCTCACTCTCTACTTTGCACCTCAGTACATGGGCATGGAGCTGAACGGGAAGACACTGGGTGTGCTGGGGCTGGGGCGCATCGGCAGGGAGGTGGCCACCCGCATGCAGGCTTTTGGCATGAAGGTAAGGAGCTGGGGCAGGGAGGAGCAATGGAGAGCATGGCCTCCCACTGTGCTAGACTGCAGGAGCGAGCACCCACTCTGTCTCAGACCATAGGCTATGACCCCATCATCACCCCTGAAACCTCGGCCACCTTCGGCGTGGAACAACTTCCACTGGAGCAGATCTGGCCCCGCTGCGACTTCATCACGGTGCACACGCCGCTGCTGCCCTCCACCACAGGTACGGGGCAGCTGCCAGCACAGGGGGGTTGGGGAGAGCCGGCAGCCCCCTTGCTCACAGCACTCCCTCTGCAGGGCTCCTGAACGACAGCACCTTCGCCAAGTGCCGCCGCGGGGTGCAGGTGGTGAACTGCGCCCGCGGTGGAATTGTGGACGAGGGTGCGCTGCTGCGGGCGCTGCGGTCGGGGCAGTGCGGTGGAGCCGCCCTCGATGTCTTCACGCAGGTGAGGAGCGCTGGGAGGCCCCCCGAGTTTGGCTTTGTCTCAGCATCGCCTTAACTCTGCCCAAGCCAGGCGGGGGCAGCTCAGCAAACCCTGCAGGCGCAGCTTCCCCCCTGTCTCCCCCTGGGAGAGCCTAGTGCCCCCCGCCTGATCCCAGGTGGGTGCTGGGGGCTCATGGTGTGATGGGACTGTGTTGGCAGGAGCCTCCGAAGGATCGTGACCTGGTGAACCATCCCAATGTCATCTGCTGCCCGCACCTGGGGGCCAGCACGCGGGAGGCACAGAGCCGCTGTGGCAAGGAGATCGCCATGCAGATTGTGGACATGGCCACAGGGAAGGGCCTGGCTGGCATAGTGAGTTCCCTGCCAGACACCTGACCTCCGTGCCTCAGTTTCCCCATCTGTAAAACATGGATGCACTGGGAGGAACCACATGGACTCCCTGGTGGGTTCTCATGGCTCTCCCTGCTCTTCCTTGCAGGTCAACGGCCAGGCTCTCAGCAAGGCTTTTGCACCCCAGACCAAGCCCTGGATTGCTCTGGCCAGGGCCCTGGGCAAAGTGCTGCGCACAGCCAGCAAGCAAGCACAGGGCAACGTGCAGGTCTGCACCCTAGGTGAGGCTGTGCCCCATGTCTGAGTGCAGGGACTCTGATGGGTGGGCAGTGTTGCAGGGTGTGCAGGGACCCACTGGGCTGGGTGAATGGGAAGAAGGACGGGAGAGCAGCCAGGAGAAGGGATGAACACAGGGTGGTTGATGATGACATGGGAGTGTGGTGGGAGGATGGGAACATAGCGGTATGGACAGTGCATGGATGAATGGGTGCATGGATTGGTGCATGGATGAGAGTAGGGATGGATGGATGGATGGGTGGGTGGAAGGACCAGCCCCAGGCTCACCGCTCCAGCATGGGGCTGACTTCTCTGCTGCTTGCCCATTCACACCCTGCTTCCTCCCTGTGCCCCAGGAACACCTCTGCGGGAGGCTGGGAGCTACCTGATGCCTGCCGTGACTGCTGGCATGCTGGCTGGAGGTGTGCAGAAGGAGGTGACCCTGGTGAATGCCCTGCTGCTGGCCCAGGAGGCTGGACTAAAGGTGCATAGACACCCTGGGCTCCTCACATCAGCCTGACACTCCCAGACCCTTTCCTTCCAAGTGGCATGAACCTGGGGTTACCCCTTGGGGCTGCTAAAGTGGCTGCTAATCCCCTTGGGGGTGCCTCCTGCACCCTACCTTGCCCAGGAGCTGGGCACTGAGCAGCCGCATGTCTTCAGCAGGTCACGACCACACACAGCGACGTAGCCCCTGAGCCTGACAGCAGTGCTGGATTACTGCAGGTGTCCCTGCAGGGTACCCCACACCAGGTAGCAGGGATGGTGCAGGGCAGCACCCCGGTGCTGCGGGAGCTCAATGGGGCCACCTTCAAGCAGCCAGCCCCACTGGCTGGCCCCATCCTCATCTACAGAGCCAAAGCTTCTGAGCTCAGTGCTCTGTCCACACTTGCTGGTGAGCCCCCACATTGGCCCTGAGCTGAGAGGGGCAAGCTGGGGGGGGGGCAAGCTGGGGGGGGCAAGCTGGGAGGGGCAAGCTGGGAGGGGCAAGCTGGGGGGGAACCCACATCTGCCTTGAAGCTGAGCCCCTGCAGCAGCAGGGAGGGACAGATGTTGCTGGAGAGACTGGATGGGGGCAGGGGGTTGGGGGCTGTGGGGCAAAGGACTTGGGGGGGGGGGAAGAAATGGCATTGTGGGTGTTGGGGTAAGCAGAGCCCGGCTACCCACTGGGTGCTGGGGCGGTGGGGCAGCATGCAGTCCCTAACCCCTCTCCTCCTCTGCAGGGCTGCTGGGGAAGGTGGGGGTCCAGCTCCAGTCCTACCACAGCTCCAGCACCGTGGCAGGGGAGCAGTGGAATGTCATGGGGCTCTCAGCTCCACTGTCTGACCTTGGCGAGCTGAAGTCACGTGTCACAGAGGTGTTCCAGCTCCACCTGTAGGCCCTGACTGCTGGAAAGGGCTCTCCCCCTGGCCACAACACCTGGACCACCCCCTGCAGCTGGGGGAGCGTCACACCCAGCCACTCCTGGCCCCCATGTTGGGCTTGGTGTGGCCCCATGCTCAATAAAGGGTCCAGAAGGAAAGAGCATGTGATGCCTTGTCTGTGCAGTCCCTTGACCTTGACCCCAGACTTCCCGCCCCAACCTCCCTCCCTCCAGACCCCAGTGCCTCACTCTGCTGTTTGCTCAAGGGTGCAAAGGTCCCTGTGGCTGCTGCAGCCCCGCTGAGGTCCCTCCCGTCTGGCCACAGTCCTGTGCTGCGACATGGCCCAGAGAGCAGGCAGTGCTCCATGGGGGGCTGAGCTCTCCCGTGAGCCCCCACATCAGCTGCCTCCTCCAGCCCCCTGAGTTTTCCTGTGGGGATGTTCCCATTTACCTGCGTCATGAGGAAAATGGCATCTGACCACCCCCAAACTGGAGACTGGGGAGCTGGGCTTTACTTGGCTCCCCAGAATGTCAGGGCATGCTCCCAATCCTGGGGAAGTAGCGGGCATTGAGATGTGTTCAATGGAGCAAGTGGCCATGTTGGGTGCCAATGGGATAAATCCTGTAAGAGGCTGTGATCTAGTCTCAAGGTGGTTGAGGGAAGGGTCCCTGGGTGGGAGGGGACCACTCATGACCAGAAGCCAGAGCCGAGCTGCTGCCCCCTCTCGTCTGTGCCTTTATTCCCTCACGTGGCCTGGGTGCTTGCAGAAAATGCTGCCATCTCCACCAGCTCCAGGGCCAGAGGTGCTGATGGCTATTTTCCAGCCATGCAAGGTGGGGTTTCTTGTAGAGGCCAGCCCCAGATTTGGGGATGAGGAAGGATGTGATAGGGAAGAGGGGATGCCAGCAGTGAAGAGAACACACCCCTCCCCAGCGCTCACCATTCCAGTCCCTCCTAGATGGGCTTCCTGGCGTACTGCCGGCGGTACTTGGCATCCACTCGTGTCAGGTACCAGGTGCCAGGGAAGAGATCTGCCTGGGAGCCGTGGGGAGTGTGGTCGGCTGCAGGGAGAGGATGGTGATGCTCAGTGGGACCGTGGGGTCCTGTCAGGGGGGTGCTGCATCCCCCCCAGCCCTGCTCACCCAAGTGATGGGTTTCTTCCCGCTGCTTCATGATCTCAGCGAAGTTCTGCGGGGCCACACGCTTGCGGGCATCCAGGCGAGCCGGGAGATCAGCCAGGCTGGAGACCAGCTTGTCCAGGGGCGAGCCTACCAGGGGGCACCCCTTGGGTCAGACAGTTCAGCCTGCAGCCCCAGCCCTGCAGCCCCACGCTTCCTGCTCTTCCCAGGCCCTCTCTCCCACGGGGCTCACCCGGGGCTGCATCCTGTGAGACGCGGAAGGAGAACATGCTGGAAGCCAGCCCCGAGCCGTAAGAGAAGGCACCGATCCGGGAGCCGGCCAGGTCCCGTGCTGAGGACCTGCATTGAGGGGTTGGGGGGGTTAGAATGGGTTTGGAGCCTGAGGGATGCATATCTGGGGGTGGTGTAGGAGCAGGCTGTATCCTGCCCTGTTTGCAGGCCAGGGGGTCCTGGGACTCAGGGCTGCATTGCAGAGGGTGCATGGCCCTGGACTGCAGTGATGCCGGGGAGCCCCAGCATGAGGCTTTCTTCCCGCTGGGTGCCTGTTTGTTCCCATGGCTCCTCTGCTGCTGGGTCAGCCATTCCGTCAGGCACAACAATGGGGTTTTCATCCTCCCAGTGCCAAAAGAAGGACTTTGTGTGAGCTGGGATGAAAAGGCTGGCAGGGAGTTGGCACAGAGTGGGACACATCCACCCCCGGGGTTATGTGCAATGAAAGTGTAAAGTCTCCGGGGAGTAGAATGCGTACTGGCACCTGCACCCCCAGCCAGCCAGGGTAGAAACTGCCCTCCCCACAATGACTCCCCCCAACCCTGAGCCAGCTTTCTGGGGGACTCACTGCGCCAGGAGGGAGGCCAGGCAGCCATACATGGACGGTGTGTACATGTTGCCATTGCGGGAGGAGAGGAGCAGGGAGGGCTTTGTTTTCTGTTTGAAGATCTCCTGGCTGGCCGCCTGGAATGCCTTCTCTACATCCTTGCTGGTGTAGGTGTCCTCCAGCTTCACACCACTGCTCAGAGAGAGGCTGTCTTGAGCCCCACATAGGCATGTCCGCAGCTGGGCTGGGCGATGGGGGACATGGCATGGGGACTCACCGGAAGGGCTGCAGCCCCTTGTAGAGGCCAGCGGCCGTGTCAGGGTTGGGGGTGGCCAAGAAGTCATTCAGCAGCAGCCGCCCCACTGACTTCTGAACCAGCTTGCAGAAGGGCGTGTGGAAGATGATGAACTTGAAGTCATCGAGGGTGAAGGGCCGCTGAATGCCAGCTGGAAGGCAATTTGTGGCCATCAGCATCCAGTGGGATGGTGTGGGCATCCCAGGGGTGCCACTGCTTACCCTGCTTCCACTGGCTCTCTGCCTTCCGGCGGTAAACGGCATAGCAGCGGTCCAGCGCCCGCAGGTAGCACTGGATAGAAAGCTGCCCGTCCACCACTGGGTACTCAGAGGACAGGTCTGGCTTGTAGAAATCATAAGCGTGCTCCATGTGGGTTCCCCGCAGGCCTGCGGGCACAGGGAGAGCCGGCTGTCAGGGGGGACTGGGGGGTCCCAGACAGATGGTTACACACATAGGTGCTGCGGGCCATGCTGTGCCAGCCCTGGTATCTGCCAGCCTCCCTGGACTGCTCCATGGTACCCACAGGAATGAGTCTGCTGGGATCCTGGGATACCAAACACCAGGCAGCCATCAGGGCTGGCAGAACTCCCACTGCTGGAACTGAGCAGCTCTGTCAGGGTTGGGATGTGGATGTATGGCCCCCAGGGACAGCATCCACCAGCTCACCATCCCCAGGGCCCCATGACACCAACCTCTCTCCAGCACCAGCGGGGCATTGGGTCCCACCAGCATGGCAATGGCACCGGCACCTCCTGTGGGCCGTGCGTTCCCTGTGGCATAGACAGCAATGTCTCCACACACCACCACAGCGTAGCGACCTGAGGGAGGACAGGGGGGCCGGTGGGGCCATTAGTGGGTGGAAGCCTCCATCCCATGGACCTCATGTACTCCCACCCCCATGCTGCGGGGTGTCATGGCCAAGGTGGGCAAACAACAAGAGTGATGGAGAGCTGGGAGGGGCAACAGCTCCCTTTGAGTCTTGCCGGGGCATCTCTCAGTTTCAGGACACCTCCTGCCTCCTTCCCCCATCCCATGGCACTCACCCAACATGCAACCCCCCCATCCCCATGGCACAGTCCCTGCTGCACGCACCATCCCAGGCGCTGGACTCTACCCAGGCGGCTGCATTGAAGAGCGAAGCCGTGCCCCCATAGCAGGCGTTGGTGGTGTCGATGCCCTCCACGTCAGTGTTGCCCGAGTCATGGAAAAGCTGCATGAGAACAGTCTTGACGGCCTTGGACTTGTCAATGACGGTCTCGGTGCCCACCTCCAGGCGGCCGATGGCGTCCCAGGAGAGGCGCCCACGCTCCACCAGCCGCTGCACCACCGTCAGGCACAGGGAGTTGATGTCCTCGTGGGCAGCACAGAAGCCCATCTGCTGCTGGCCCAAGCCCCGTGTGTACTTGCCAGCCTCCACGCCATCATACCGCTCCAGCTCCTCCTGCTCCACGTACTGGGCAGGGAAGTACACCTCCAGCGCCAGGATACCCACATCCTTGGGCCAGGTGCCCGTCCCAGCAGTGCTGGAGAGACTGTGGGGCAGAGGGAGCAGTGATAGTCCCATGGCAGCCCTGAGACTTGGGGACATGCGGTGGTCCCAGGGAAGTGCCACCAGTGAGCATCCCAGGCTATGAGCACCCCAAATCCCTGCTGGTTCCCTGGCAGCCCTGTGGGGAGGAGGGAGAGCATCGCCTTCCCCAGCAAGGTTTAAGAGCACTGCCAGCTCCCTGACCTGTCCCTGGATAAGCTCCCAGCCCAGCCCATTCGCGTGGGTGCTCACCATGCCCTCTGCACAACCGTGGCGTGCTGGGGTCCCCACAGTGCCCATTCTGGCCCCGGCGATGTCTGCCTTGCCCCCCAGCAGCGAGCGGCGCGGCCAACCAAGCGCAACATCTTCACCCTGCTGCTGCACAGACGGTGGGACAGGATGGCTGCAGGGATAGGCCTTGTGTGGTGCTTTTATAAACTTCACAGGCGGCACGGCACAGCCCTCCTGGCCCTTATCAGCACACCAGACCCTGGCGCTCAAAGGTCACCAAGCAGCAGCCAACGCGACAGGGACAGCGGAGCAAGCACTGGCTTCGGAGGAGGGAACTCACAAGATGTCTCTACCTTGCACCCCAAAACCTGAGGATGAGCTTAGCTGGAGGCAGGGCTGGGCAGTGGAAAGGGCTCTCCTGCAGCCCGGGCTCCCCATGCTGTGGGGCAGCGGCAGTTCCGGTGACTGCAGCTCACCCGCACAGCTCTGGTCACCGTACGGTGTGCGAGCTGCTGGATGCCCTCTCCGACTGCCCTGGACTGCCAGGGCGGGAGCGGAGGGCGGCTGGGGATGGGGTGCCAGCACCGTCCCTGCTGCCTGGGATGCGGTCCACCTCCAACATGTGCTGCAGCTCTGAGGGGTAAGAAGCCCGTGAGCTGGGGGGGGGGGGGGGGGGGGCAGAGCCGTCTTTAAAACAGCAAACAGTGAACAGCCACGTGACGCCTGTGGCAACACACTGTGACTCAAGAAGGGACCTTTGGTCCTGGTGCTGCTGTCAACATGGCCATGGGGCAGTATCGCAGCCCCCAGACCCTGCAAAGCCACCAGCACACAGGGAGGCACCCATACTCACATGTGCACACCCACAACAGCTCGAATCCTCACCCACATCCATGCCCTGCACCATGAGGGCACTCCTGTCCGCTCCCCTGCTCCCCAGGGACACCTGTCCCATTTGGCACAGAACAGCTGGGAATGAGCAAACACGAGAGCCCGGCTGGGAAATCCACCGGCCCTGCGGCTCCTGGGACTCACTCCCAAAAGGCTCCGACAGCACTGGCAGTGCCGAAGTCCCGGGAAGCTCAGGGAGCCGGGGCAGCTCCTGCCTCTCCCAGGACTTTGCACCAGCACCAAGCTCACACAGCACTTGCAT